AGCAGTACTGAACTGCAGTGGAAACGCAAACCGTGTTGAGCCGGCATCGTGATTCCTCCACCACCACCATCCCTCCCCCGATGTCATTGTCCAACGCGATGTTTCACTGTAGACATCGTCCTATGCCAATTTGGTAGACATCACCCAACCCTATTAAAGACTCTTGGTGGAATGCTATTGTGCTTCTGGTAAACTGATGCTCTCTTTATTCGTCTTTTTCATTCTGCCTAATAGAGACATGAAAACTAAGCCAGCAATGAGACAGTGAAGACTTACCTTTCCAAGTCGTCATCTTCTCCTCTCCGTCTTCTTGACCTTTCAGCACCAGGCTTATCATATTCATCAAACTCATCATCTACACACAGAAAAGAGAATGAAACACATTAAGCTTTCATTACACACTATATTATATCATATAGAGATGTTAGGGTTCAAGATTCTGAAGCAGCAATTTCTCTTTGAAGCAAATATTCTGTGATGATTTACTTGCCCTCATGTCAAATGTTATTTTAAAGAAGCCACTGGAAGATTGTATGAAGAGCAGTTCTTGTTATATTTACGTTCTAGGCTGCTGGACTACCAATTTACAGCATAATTATGTTCACTGGTAAGCACATTTGCATGTAATCCAAATCAAATACAGATATATCAAATCAGATCTGCAACCTTGCAGCTGACAGTGATGTGTAGGATTGACAGGTTAAAGGGATTTACAGGAACTGACCCTGGTCTCTGTAATAAACCACTACAACACACATCACGCCTACATTCAACACACAAACTCGTACGTGTTATCAGAGTGACAGAACTATCCAGTTTTTATTGAAATAGAGATCTTCTCAAAACACATCATTTGCATCTCTGGCCTGGATAAAACAAGTCCTGCTGTCTGAAGAGGCAGCGCTAACGTTACAGATGCTTATATAACCATACAGACCCAACCTCATGGTGCTACACACAACTGTTCTTCATCCACCATTTAAATGTCAAAATCACTATCCCAAGCATACATCATTCGTTGCATTGTGCACACTAACACACGGCCAGCGCATTCATTGCAACCCTTCAGCTAGCTAGTTAGCAACCGCAAATGAGTAGAAATATGTAAATGCACGTCTGCTAATAACTCACGATCATCAATATGACACACCATAGAGTTAAAAAAAACATCCTAACAGATAGTCGTGACATCAAGGTAAACTGTGTTCAATCTGTAACTTAAACCAACAGCAGATCTCAGAAGCTCAGCAAATTATGAAACAAAAGCAGCTACCTCGTTAGCACTAGCTGGGAGCTAACCTAAGTGTAAATTAATATTACATATATATCATACCCCCGGCATTGGTCGCCATAACCCAAGACTGTATGTTATCTTGGAGACTCTGGTATCTCTCTATAACGTCGATGAGTGCATTGAAACTGGTTTAAGTGCAGAGCTTCAGGCCGTTAGCTTAGCGTCAAATCTCCTCAGTCTGAGCTCTGAGCTCTGAACACATCTGCACAGGAATCATGGCGACCGGACTGAGCCGCGCTGCATCATGGGTATGATGTGATGGGTGTGCGTCTCTACAGCCCAGCCTGATTTAGCTTTACCGTAAACTCCAAATAAGGGTGAAGGGTAGGAAAATAAGGGACAATCGTGGTTTTTCATAGAAAAATAAGGGACAGAATAAGGGATACACACACAGGCCTAATATATATATATATATATATACACACACACACACACACACAGGTATATCTTTTAGATTTGTAATGTTTTTTTTTTAAATGGAGTCTCTTATGCTCATCAAAGCTGTATTTATTTGATCAAAAATACAGAAAAACAGTAATATTGTTAAATATTATTGCAATTTCTAATATTGGTGTCCTATCTTATTATACTTTAAAACATAATTTATTTCTGTGACGGAGCACTGAATTTTCAGCATCATTACTCCAGTCCTCAGTGTCACATGATCCTTTTATAAATCATTCTTATTCTGATTTATTATCAGTGTTGAAACTGTTGTGCTGCTTAATATTTTTTTGGAACCTGTGTTCTATAAATAAAATAAAAAGTAAAAAAAAAACAGAATTTATTCAAAATAGAAATATTTTCTAACAATATCAATTTGTATCCATTTAACACATCCTAGCTGAATAAAAGTATTCTAAAAGTTTCTTTAAAAAAAAAAGAAGAAGAAGAAAAAGAAGAAGAAGAAGAAAAAAAGAAATTTACTGACCCCAAACTTTTTTTTTTGGAATAGTTGTGTATATTTAACACCATTTTTACTGTGAATAAATACTGTTCTTTTTAACCTTTTATTTATGAAAGAATCCTGAAAAAATATCACAGGTCCCAAAAAAATATTAAGCTATTAATATTAAGTTTCCAACATTGATTATAAATCAGCATATATTAGAATGATTTCTGAAGAATCATGGGACACTAAAATCTGGAATAATGATGCTGAATATTCAGCTTTGCTTCACAGGAAGAAATTATATTTTCAAGTATATTAAAATAGAAAACGGGTTTGTTAAATTGCAATAATAGGCTATTTCACAAAATTACAGTTTTTTTTCTGCATTTTTGATCAAATAAATGCAGGCTTGATGAGCATAAGAAACCTCTTTAAAAAACATAAAAAATCTTACTGATCCCAAACTTTTGAACGGCAGTGTATGTATATATATATATATATGCTATAGGCAATCTACCTCATGAACAGTTAAATATTCTCCCATTGTGCAATACAAATATGTGCAATAACCTTATACTATTTATCTCTTTACATCCTAGTACATCCCTACAACTTTATTTTTTATTCTATTCATATTCTACAGTATTTTATCTATAGCACACCTGTACATATTTATCCTTTGTGTGTGTGTGTGTGTGTGTGTGCGTGCTTTATTTATAGTTATACATATGTGTATTTTATTCACATCTTATTTTTATTATCTGTGTTGTTGTTGTTGTTGTTGTGTCTGTGTACTGGAAGCTTGTGACACTAAAACAAATTCCTTGTAGCCTATGTGCAAACATACTTGGCAATAAAGCTCTTTCTGACTTCTGATGCGTGTGTGTAATATACAGTAGGCCTACTACAGTATATATGAAAATGCATATTTTTCAATTAAAGAGAACTAATAGAATAAATATGTAGGCCTACTGCTTTGGGTGCTTGACGCTTCATTGGTCATTTTGTGTTTTAAGAATAATATTCAAGGTTAAGAAGACGCTGGAAGTTATTAAATGTAAATACGTCTTCCCTCAGGTAAAATGGAATTGGAATCACGTTGTTTGCATTCGCTCAAGCTGATTTGCTGAAGTCGAAACGCGGTCGTTAAAAACCCAAGTCCCGCTGACTGTGAAGCGGGAGCGACCAGCCGGCAGAGGATTCCGCTTGGTCTTAAAGCCTCCCTGGAACGGTTATGTTCACAAATCAAACACTTGTCAATAAAGAATGATTAATTCTCAATTTAGAGTTGTTATTCGCATGGTCTAGGTGTTCATACGGCATAAGCCTTAAATACGGGACAAACTGCGTTCCGTATAGCTTTCATACAGAACGCTTCTTTGATGCCTTAAATACGGGACGATACCGTATGATACGCAACGGTTGGCAACCCTAGTGAAGGGTAGACAGACTTCAGTTTGGCGTGACAGAAATTTGCTTTAAATTGTAATATGCGTGTCTTTTTTAGCCAATAAGCCCAATTAATTTTATTTGTATAGCGCTATTCACAATAAGTGAAGTATTCAGAAATGCATTCTCCCTTCACATTCTCCATCAATGCTTGGTTGATTATTAATAAGTGTTTGGGGTAAAGATTTGGGTCTCAGTAGGTTATAGACAAAGCAGACTGAGGTGATGATTATGTGTCAAATAAGATCAAGTATAGCTGTTAGCCTACACTTAGTAGCAGATATTTTTCTTACTGGATAGGGGATTATGGAAGTTGCAATATACATTTTCATAACGTTATTCCAAGCTTTCCAAATTAAACAAACTAACCTCCTCATTTCACAAACTTTGAGGTAATTGTATTTAGGCTAATTGTATTTACAGAATGTGTGTTGTGCAAGCAGCTGCTTGTACTTTTTTCAGTAAAGTTGAAATTAATTTTTCACTGATTTCATTGTTGTATTATTTTCTATACGTAACCTTGGCAGTGGCAGAATCTTGTTTTTGTTCTCAGTATTCCATATCACCCTGACTAGGCATTTGACTGATGTTTGTAGCCTACTACATGTGATTTTTAAGCATGTCAAATTCTTATCTAAAGTCAATTTCACTAGCTAGTGTTTGGGAAGTTTTAGCTTAACAAAAAAGGTCGAATTTGTAAGTGATGAGTCTCACCAATGCTTTAAAAAGTTACTCCATCATAGTCTAATTTAAAAAAAAAAAATACAAAGAAAAATGTTACATTTGATCTTTACCCCAACTTTTTTATTTATTTTATTTTTATCATTAGCACTTAGTGGAACAATTAGTTAAACTAACAAAGATTCGGTTTTGGCTTTAGTTTCAACAGTGTAAAAAATATTAAGATCAAATAATAAAGTGTTTAAAAACACAAATCATTTTATCAGATCTTTGTTTGTGTATACTAGTTAGCTATCCAAATGCTGTAAATTGCTCAAAAATTACACAAAGCATATTTGAATCATTTAATATGCTAATAGGCTATATTAGCTATTGTGAAATGCCAACATCCTACTATTATTTTATATTTATACTATTACACTTAAACATATAATTAATATAAACACATGCAAACTGGATGCATCAGCAAGTACACTAGTTTTATTAAATAAGTTATCCTGTGGTGATGCAAACCAGACAACTGTTTAAAGCTACGGTCGCGCGCAGAGTAACGCATTATTATGCAGTTTATATCCATATCAGCAAGCGTTATGCCTGCAGGATAAACCTGATTCATCCCACCTCCAATCATATTTCTTTGACTGCGTTTCCTAAAGATTATTTTCTCTCTGCATCCATCCGGGGAGTCATTCAGAGGTTATGATTTTTGGGCTGCTGTTATTGGATATCATGTTCCAGTTCGGGACTCCATTGGTCTGGAGCTTGTCAGTCTGTGGCGCGCCAGCGCTCGCGAAGCCGCTGCGCAGACAGAGCACGACACGCGAGTGGCCAGAGAGTGTCTGGAGTCTGTCTGAAACTGATAAAAATGCTGATGGAGTTTATCCAGAGTCTCGCTCATACTCATTAGAAAAACAAAGGGAGACAGAGCGGAATTATACACTGTAGTCTGATCGTAGCTTGAAAATTAGATTCTATTGTAGCGCATTTCAAAGTTTTATTCCATGTTTTTCACCAGACAGGCAGTTCGTTAATTCACAGGTAAGATGATCGTGGCGGGGCGCAAATCTTTTTGTCTGATACAGTCTGCCGTTGTTATGGTGATTGTGTTGTTCATGCATATAACTGTGCGATGTTGCTTAATCATAGCAAACAGGACGGCGCATGTAAACCGCTGGTCGGCTGCAGGGTGCTCATTTTAATGTGATTACATGTTAGCGCATGTCGTTCGGCGAGATGAAGAAAGAGTTTATCGCGATCATCTCTTCAGACAGATGACGCACCTGTGCTCACGTGAGCACGGTTTCTCATTAACCCCATGAACTCGTGATGCCAAAACACTGTGCTGCAGTGAGTGTATCTATCAGCGTGTCTGGACTGTATACAGCGCGGTTAAAAGCATACAGCCATGCGCCAAGACGGCTGCTGTTTATCCGCCAATTTAAGGCCCGTCTTTGCGCGTGAGATTCTCGCTTGCGGTGGATGACTGCGTTTTAATTCACCGTGGTTTGGCGTTTAGTCTGTTTTCTTAGTAAAAAAAAAAAGGGATTTTAGGTAGCCTAAGGTATGGTTAGTCTAAGGACAGTACGTAGACTTCAAAGGCATTTGGCAAAACTACTGACAAAAAATAAACGGCCAAAAGCTCCTTACGCGTTTCGGTGTCTGTAATCATACGGTGGCGCTAACTCGTGCTATCCGCTCACAGCGAGCAGAGCAACTGGTGTCAGTGCAGTTCTGTTGCGCGCTTGGATGGTATCGTCCATAAGTGGTTCGTTCCTCAATAGCTAGTATGGGAGCCTAAAGCATTAAATGAAATCAAATTGATTTGCCTTAGCCAATTAAATTGTATCATAAGTCCCCAAATAATTTACTCAATACAACTAGTTTACTTTTTTCATCCGACAGCAATATATGGAAGACGGTGGCTAGTTGGAGCAAAGACGAGAGTTCTGTTAGTTACTAAGAGTTCTCTTCATACTTCAAAAATGTCTTGTATTATAATTTGAGTGAATTTTAAAATACCGTAATCGTCATATTTTTGAGCCGTTTTGTAAAGAAGTGTACAGACAAAATTAACTATATCATGAAGGAAAAATATAACTTTCCTACAGAAAATGATTATTCAGCTAGAAGTTATTTATATTTTTTAACGTTTCATAAATGTGAGGTTGGGGCTTGAGGTTTATATTGGGGCGTGTTGTTACATTGTGAAAATATTACAAATATACAATTTATAAATTGCAATATTGACGCTTAAAAAATGGTTTGGGGTTACTGTACATTAACTTTGACATGTTTGCTGTTTAATTCTTATGTGTTTCTTAATTGTTTTAATTTAGCAGAACAGTCAATAAGAGGCTGTTTAAAGGCTCCATGTACTGTAATGTGACAGCATACACTACCACAAAAGGTCAATGTGTGTTCAATAAACTGCCAATTTTCATCAACAAAACAAAATGGTAAAAATATTCGGTAGCTTTTTTGTATCGCCAAGACTATAAGGTATGTGCCAAAACAGCAGAAAATACTGAGAAATATTCACTGGAGTAAAAATTATGACAACTAGTCCTGGTTCTCCTTTATATCTTATTTATTATATAATAAAAACATTCATTATGAGGCATTTACTTAAGCAGGCTATTTTTATCACATTTTTATTATAATTTTTTTTTCCCTTACTGTATTTAAAAGGTACCAATTGATTATTACATTATATTCTCTTTAGATTAGAATCATGAACGTTAATCAAAATGCACTGCACTTTGTGAGGATTCATCTGTGGTGTGTAGATTAAAACATTTCATATTTAGTACAGGATTCCATGCTGTCTTTTGGATTTATTGTTTCTCAACTTAACTTTACCTTTAGGTTTATGTTTTGGTTTTAAGTTTTTTTGAGTCCAAAATTGAAAAGGCACCATGAATCTGTTGCCCATGTTGCTTGGCTTTGCATGCTCATGCATTCATAGTTTTAAAGCAGATATAGACATCTCTCTTTGATATTGATAGCAAATAAGCAGTCATAGGGACTCAGCTTTTCAGTCATATGCAAAACAAGATGACTGCTTCACGGGAGGCACATGGCTATACATTGGTAGATATAGTGGTCCCTTTATAGTATGTTTTGAGTCAGTGTAAAGTGTCTTAGTGAGAGAAATTGGGACACAGCATGCACAGAACAGTATCATGCCCTGACCCAGAGGGGTTGTGCAATTTTAAAAAAACATCTAAGCAAATATATATTACAAGTTATAATAATTGAATAGACTGAAACATTCTCATTCTTCTGGTGCAGGTATGTAATTATAATGATGTATATTATCTAAACACAAGGATGTAACAAATAAAATAAATTCAATCTTTGAAGGTCACACCAGGTTATGGTGTGAAATTATTTTCTAATTTATTTTGTAGCGGTAGATGGCCTCTAGGTTTGATAAGTTATGTTTATGTATAACTTGATTAAAATAAAAATGCATTATATGACATGCTTCATTCAAATTCAACAAAACTTAAGATATTTGTGACATTTTTTAAATTGGGCACTGAATGACTCCTATTTTAATAGTAAATGTAACTGTACATCGATGTAAGCTTTGAAGTTTACGCTTTTTGGTTAATGGTATTTGCAAATTATTTTGTAAACAGAGTAATGTCAGTTTAGAATAGGAGTGGCTCACGCCTAGAAATCGGTCTTTTTTTAGTTGACTATTTTTGTTTCCTACAGCACAAACTGATGGGCTGATATTTTCAGCGAATTTGAGCAGCTCGGTGCGTGTAGAAGGTGTTCATTTTGCCTTGTACTTGACTCAGGGTTTTCATTACTGTAATGTTTGATGGTATTATAAATGCTCAACTGCACACTTCTGTATATCAGTTCACCTTACAGGCCTATCAGTGTCCTAACTCAGTACTCCATGTTTCAACTGGCCAGGCAGTGTGTGTAAGTGTGCGTGCATGTTGCTTTAGCTCACAGGCCTGTAAAACATTTGTTTGTAATAATGATTAGTATTTGAAAATGAAAAATTTGCCATGCACATCCAGAACCTGTTGGTGAAATTATGTTCCTTTACTAGTATTTGTATTTGAAGTTGAAGTATTATCAGGCATTTTATGCTTTGAGTGCTAAAAAATGTGATACAGCCGTCTGATAAATTGTACATTTATTGCTACATTTATTTAAAATGAAGAATTATGAAATAAAACGTAATATTTGTATTTAATTGTGTGATATCTGTAAAGAAATGTAAAAATAAATGTTACAATTTCCCAACATAGTCAATGGTCTGTTGACTTGAAGTGTTATTGTGTATTCAGACAATGAGTGGTATTAGCATAGCTGTCGTTTTGCAATAAATGTATATTTTTACTTTTACTGATTTTAATTCTTTGTATTTGGGCTCTTGTTATAGGCAGGAGGATTACATTTCTGAAGTCTTCTGATGACCTCTTGGAGCTGTCACAGATGCAGCTACACTTAAAGGTGATACCTGTGTTCTGCGGTTGTGCTGCCGTGCTGCCGGTAGGTTTAAAAGGGCATTTCCCACCCAGTACTCTGTGAAGCACATTTGGGCATGTCATGGAGAGAGAGAAGTGGAACGGCAGGAATGCAGAGAGGTGTGCAAAGGTGCGATTATGAAAGCCTGCAGGCTGATAAGTGTGCATCAGAGAAGCTAATGCTAACCGAAACAAACCTCTGTTTTTCTTTGTCAGATGTGACGTTTGAAATGTTGCTGAGTAATCGCACTTTCAACTTGGCACACCAATCATTTCCAGTACTCGCTTCTTATATGAATTTCTTCATTGAACACAATGATTAGACAGGTTGACTAACGGACAGGTAAAAAACAACAACTGTACAGACAGTCTGGCACAGAAAAAGCCTAACGTTTGAATGTGAAGTATACAGGGACTCTTTTGAGAACGTTTGACTCTTGAGAGAGAGAGAGACTCCAAAAGTCATTTTGTGACTTCATATGGATGATTAAAAAGCTGCAGAAATGAGAAATTATATCTCTCGAAATGAAGATGGCAGCCATTTTTGTTGTAATGTCCAACAGCGCCCTCCCAGGTCTCTCTGTAGCTCTTGTGGAGCAAGCTTATGGATTTCGTGTGTGAAAGAACAAGGCTCTCACTCTCCTGCATTGCTTGCATATATTCAATATCAAAGCCACAATGGCATTTTAAAGGGATCACTGGCAGGCAGCCAAAACACAGAGCCTCTCTCTTTTTGGTGGCTGTCCTGGCTTACTTGCTTTCTTCCTTTTACTCATGTCCTCGTGCTGATGGCAGCGTAACGTCTGACTCTTCTCAAAGCTGTACCCAAGTGCTGGAGCGAGACATTGGATGTATTAGGACAGCTGCCTCCATTTTAGGGAGGAGTTTTGCAGAGGAAGATGGATACCCTTTCCACAGCACCAGAATTTGCAGCGTGAATCAGTTCTGACTTGAGGCATCGCCTGCAATATTTAGCTATGTTTTGTCATTCGATGTTCATTTGTTACCCGAATGTGATACATTTTCCCGAAATGTGCTTCGATTGCATTTGTTGTGTTTATAGGAGATTATATGGAATGATATGAATCGTGCTTTGGGTGCCTAGTTTATCAGTCTCAAATTGAAGCAAATGTGCTTTTTTATAGTTCTACTTTTGATCTTCTGCATAGATGTTATTGTGACATTTCTAGATCTTACTTTTTTTTCCTGGCCACGCACAGAAAGATTTTAATCTGCTTTTTAAACTCATTTCTGGATTTGATATAAGTAACATGTTTGTTAGTTAACTTAGTTACAAAAATCATAATACTAAATATCGTAGAAACTTAATTTTCTGTAAAGTTGCTTTGCAACGATTTGTATGGTAAAAAGCGCTATACAAATAAACTTGAATTGAATTGAATAATATCCAAATAAAATGGTGCCTTCAGGCTCTCGGGATTTTACTGGTAAATGATGGTGTGCTCTAATCCGCTGTGAAATGTTATTTGTTTTATTTTATTGTATGTTACTCAGGCATATAACTATGCTGTGTTTAGTTTTTTCTCTTAGTTTTTTACCCTCGGGTAGCGAATTAGACAGATACCTAAAATGCCAGATACCTTTGACCCTAAAATATATTAAATTACAGATTGCTTTAGCAGGATTCAACCTTTTTTTTTTGTCCAAAATTTTAGTCCCTTGAATGTGTCCTTAATTTTATGTATTTATTAAAGCATTAATTTCAAATTCTTTATATGTTCTCGTGCATTAGAATATTCTGTTTAATGATTCTTATCTCTATCATTAGTTAGTATCTCTAAAGATGATTGTTTCACTGTGTCTCAGTATTTGTGTTGTAAACAGGGCAAATAAAAATAGGAGCACATTTTGTAGTAAATGTTCACTGAAGCAAATAAATTGAGCAAAAAATGATATATTTTGAAAAGTGTTTTCGCATTATTTTTGAAGCATTCCCGTGATTGTTAAAATTATTGTTTTGTCAGTTTGTGTAAATACAGTAATTGTTATTATTAAAGTTAAATTCATTTTTATAAATCAGTGTTGTGTTGTCTTGTATTCATGATGTAAATTTAAGTTTGACTGTTTTATTGTGTAGACTGAATTATTTTTGCAAGTATTGTGTTTATTGTTGTTATTGTAATAAAAACATTCTTCTAATTGCTTTGATAGCACAGTGTCTATTTGTATTGCTAAAAAACATTTGATGGATTCATGTGATACAAATATGATATGAAGGAGACTGGTTTGAAGTGTAGAGCGTGTATAAAGCCACAAAGGTGGCATTGACAGTGTGTCTGTGTGTGTTCGCGTGTTGCAGGGTGGATTTGTGGCCTTGTGCTTCAGTATCTGAGGTACACAATGTTCTGGAAGATTCGGCCTCTTGAGTGACCCATTGGCCCTGAAATCTTGCTCGTAACTGGAAAAGCTTCGAAATGCGAAACTTATGAGGGGTGTTTTCGTGATTATTGGTATAGCTATGTTTAGGAGAAACACTATGAAACGCATTTTAAGTTTGAACATAACGTTTGTAAAACAAATTGTATATAGGAATGATTTATGTTCAAATATGCCCTGTGTATTTGTATAACTTCTGAGCGCTGATAATATATAATAAACGTTTAACATATAAATCTTTGAAAAGTGTTAACAGTTGTAATTGAAACGTTATTTAATACTGTACTGTCATTTTGGATATACTGTGCGAGGACAAAAATGGTCAGAACAGTGGGGAAAATTTTTTCTAAAATGTTGTTTGCTACAGAAACAAACCCACAGAGTGAAAATGCTCAAATGTTATGTACTGCTGCAATGAAAGTCACACATCCTTTTGCAATTTCCATTTTGATCCACGTTTATATATAATGGTTTGCTTTTATATCTGCATGATTGTCTACACTGAAAATATTAGCACAATGTTTCTTTAATACTTTTTCACAGAAATATTCAAGAGTACTGAAGGTTCATATCATTTTTAGAATTTTACATAAATTATTTTATGCATAAAATCTATTCAATGACTTTAATAAGGCTAAAAACAAAGCATGCTTAATGTCTGATTGTCACTGATACTTTGTAAAAGTTATAACATTCGTCTTGAGAATTGGCACAAGAACTTCATGCCATCATGTCAGTCCTTTCATAGCATTCATAATTATTTGAACCGGATAGTATACTTAAGATTCGATACGCTGGCATTGGCCAGCGATTAGCTGATTCAAGGCTATGCCAGATGAAATGCCAGTCATCGCTGAGGGTAGTTCACTTGGTTTAATTTATGAACTCCTGCACATATTATTGGTAAGTCCTTGTATTTTACTGATTCAACTCACTTTCTGTTTACAGAATGTAAGGCCAAAACACACAGCTTGGCTTTGTTAGGTGTGAACAGTTAATGACTTTTTAAAGTGCTGTGTCCTTGTACAATTTTATTCCACTTTAATGGCTTTTCATAGTTGCTGATGCTATTTGCGAGCGCATTATATTATGCATTGTTCACCTTGGGTGAATTTTAAACTCTTTGGTATTTCATTTGGATGTTTCGATCAGCCTGTAATTCAAAAGCTTAAAATTGAATAACATTGTTCAGGCTTTTGTGGAACTCAAAAACAATGATTTTCAGATTAATTCTGCTTCCTTTTCTCATTGCAAACAGTTATATGCATGATGTTATTTGTTCACTTTTTATTATTATTTTTTTTATAGTTATATGCATGTTTCCTAAGCTGTCTGAATGATTTATTAAGTTTTGAAGGAGAAGTAGAAAGAAGGTTTGTTTATTCCATTTCACCCTAAAGGCATAGATAGTATTTTAATGAAATCTCATCTCTCTCACTCACTCACACACACACACTTTTCCTTTTTCCCAGCTGCTGATCGCTTAATGGCCTTTAAATTAGTCTGAATGATGCCGACCAGTTCCTGTATGCCACTATTTGACATTAAATTACTGAGATACGCACACATCTATGACTGCGGATATGTCAAATATCGCTTCACAGGCGAGCCGTTAAAGCAGTTAAAGGTTCATCTTCATTTGTTTGATACCACCATACTGTATTTTGCTGTGTATATTCTTGCCTAAGCGCTGTTTTGATTGATCTCAAGAGGTGACGCTAAGATTTAACCTTGACCCCTATTTTTATCCTGTCAGGTGCTAAGGCTCGCCAACCAGTCAAAGCGTTCGGACTCATTAACGGTTCTTTCGTTTTGATGCTGTTCTCCTAAAGCATGTGTTGATAGGTTGAAAACCAAAAGAACTGGTCACAGTGAAGGCCAAGTGGTTAATCCCAGCAAAGGGTCTGTGACACAAACACCAAATGAACACTGCAACTCTTCGATAAGAAAGAGCCGCGCACATCCCAAATATCAATTTCACGTCTGATCTCCCACTGACACTCAACGTGTGAGAGTGCAGGGGTTGCACCAAACAGGCCCTTGTCAATAGTATCATGTTATCTCCTATCAATTAGTGGCTAAAGGGGATTAACCCCTGCAACACAGAGGAAGCTGATAGGATCACTGTTGAATTGCAGGGGTCACCTGCTTCCCTCATTAGTGATGACCTCTCTCTCTTTCTGTCTGCCTCTCTGTCTGTCATTTTTATGTATTCACTACTAGTTTAATAGGGGAAGTAGACTGATATGTTTTTGTGGACATGTTATCATGAATGTCTTTTGGAAGGAGGGTTAGATATTCGGTGATTAGTCATGCTGTGTTGTGTTATGCTGCTGTTGTTCAGGTGAGAGTGAATCAGCAATGTATTCAGAGTTGACAGCATTTCTCTTATAACAAGGCTAGCAGAATGAAACTCACAGTTTGAGTCTGGCTAATGTTGGTGTATCGTTGCACACAGGGAATAAACTGCTGCTGACCTTACTCTATATTCATGAACGTGTTCTGGTGTTAGAATCTCCGCAGGAAAGTTAGATTTTATAACAATAACTTCAAGTAGGCTCAAGCCCGAGAATTTTTTTGAAAACTTTCCGGCCACATCAATTTCAATGAAACAATCATGAAATTTGGGTTTTACTCGATTTTATATACTGCGTGGTGGTTACCATTTCCCAGTTTGTATCTGTTTGTGCTTTTTTTTTTAAACCACTAAAAGGTATGAGATACACAGATCAGAGAAAAGGGAAAACAAATTAAACTAAAACTTTGTCAAACATTAAATATTCAATGCTTCCAACTAGGGATGTAACGATTCACTCAAGTCACGATTCGATTCGATTCACAATTTTGATTTCACGA